CTTTACCAAGTGAAACTCGTGTTAAATGTTCTTATAGTTCTTTCAACAGAAGATTTTGTACAGCATCCATTGTATGATTGCATACGTGTTTAGTGTGAACCAATTGGATCATGTCATACACAACTTCATGTATCTTGTTTTGTTTTGACTTCAGCAATACCTCATGGAGATTTTTCCACTCTAATTCATTCAACAGTGTGAGCATCATCATAATTCTTTTACCCAGTCCCATCTTGATGGATATTTTTGTTGTTTCCAATTATTTTTTATTGTTAACAGTGCTGCAGTAAAAGCTCTTGTTCATTCTCTCAGCGGTTATAATGATGTCCAGTGGGCATATTTCTAGCAGTGGAATTTATCCATCAACAAGGTACATACATTTACAGTTTTGGTGAGTGGTCCTGAATTGCCCACTAAGAGATTGCTCAATTTACATTTCATCAGTAGTAATTTCTTCCCACATAACTTTGCCAGCAATAGACAGTGTCAAAGTTTTTAAGTTAATGACAGATTAATATACCAAATAGTACTTCATTATTAGGACTGAGTATTTCCGTATTAACCATTTCAGTTTCTTTTTCTATAAGTTGTTTATTCCTGTCATGGCCCATAATGTATTAAATTACACGTACTCTGTACGTGTAAAAATGCCTGTTTTTCTAGTTAATCCTTTGTTTTTAATTTGTTTATGAGTATCTTTACCAGTAAAAATTTTTTTCAATTTTTCATAGTCTTAAGACTTTATCTTGTTTATAACATTCTCCCATGATTGCCGCTAGTGTACCCAAGGCCAGAATAAACGCAACACAATCCTAACTCTTTCCCTACCTTCATATCTCACTCAACCTCTGTCTAGCTATGGACTTCATGTGATCTATCTAATCTCTGACTCCATCTTCTCACTTGGATTGTTGTTTCAAGCACCTCATCCAACCACTAGTCTTGGCACAACTAGGAAGTTGTGGCTTTAAAACTTCAATTGGCCACTTTTTGCCTATTAGGAACCCCAATCTTCCTTTCCAACTTCATTTTCTGCATTTGTCCCCCACCTGAACATAATGCTTTTCAGACACACTACTCTTTCACTAGGAATAGCTCAAATACTTCTCCTGCTCCCGCCACCTCCCATTTAGCAGTCTATCACTTGTCCTTCAAGACCTACATTTCACATTTTCTGTAAAGACTTCTTTGATAAGATGAGCACATCAATGATTCATGCTTTTAGTAAAGCGTAGCAAGCATAAGATATGTAAAAGGTAACCTGTCAGTATATTTAATAGAAAACATTTGTGTATGGGTCTGTCCTTCTCTCCAGTTTGCAGGTTATGCAAAGCTCAGATGGTGTTTTAAATTCCTTTGTTGTTTTCCTTGGATTTAGCACATGATATAAATAGATGTTTCTTATATAAATGGCCTTCATTTTGGCTCTTTACAATGAATTCTCAGTCACTGTCATGTTTTATAAATTTGTTAGCAAAAACTTTTCTTAGGAATGTAAATAAGTTAGTACAGTAATAAATGTGAAGTGCTTAGCACTAAATAGTCTGTTGAGTTGAAATTGTATGGTGGCACTGTACATAGGTGGGAAAAAATAACACTCCACTCAACTTCCTGTAAGGAACAGTGGTCTTTAATTTTTTGTGTGTGCATCAGAGTAACCTGAGGGGATAATTAGAAATATAAATCCAAGAACATGAAAAGATGGTTCATATCATTAACCGTAAAGGAAATGTAACTAAAATCACAGTGAAGTACCCCGTGCATTTATTACAATGGCTAAAGTAAAATATAATGACCATCTCAAGTGCTAACTGGCATGGAAAATACCTGGAACTCTGATATATTGCTAACGTAAATGCAGTTTGGGACAGTCCCCCTGGAAATGGCTTTGTAGTTTCCATAAAATTAAACATACATTTGCCATATGATGCAGTGACCCCATATTTGCTATCTATTTTGGAAAAATTAAAATATATTTATACATACATACACACAAGCTGTACATTCATGATTGTGCAGACTGGAAACAGCCCAAACATCCTTCAGTCTAATTGAATTAGCATGTATTCTTACCCATGCTATAGAATACTGCTCAGCAGTACAAAGTAACAAGTTGTTATATAACAATTTGGATGAACCTAAAAGACATCAAACTGGATGAAATAGACTAGCCCCAATAGTTTATTATTTGATTCAATTCATAAAATCACTTTCAAAGTGATAACACTGTGGGGATAGAAAACAGATCATTGGTTACCAGGGTTTGTAGATAAGAAGTTTTAACTAGAAAGAAATATAAGGGAATTTTTTAGGGTGAAGGAACTGTTTTTGTATCCTTATTGTGGTAGTGGCTACACATATAGAACAAATAATAACATGGATAGAACTGTACACCCAAAAGGAAAAACAACCCACTTTGCCATATGATATTATTTAAAATAAGGTTGGGGGAGGCCAACTCCCTAGGCCACTTCCCCAGTGATTTTTGTTTGTTTGTACTGTGAGCCAGATCAAGCCACGGATTCATATTCAAAGATAGTTAAGAATGAACAGCAGAAAGTGAACAATTTCATTATAAACCAATAAAAATGCTGCACAAAGTGTCTCCCTGGTGGCCAAGGGTTAAGTCTCAGCGCTGTCACCCCTGTGGCCTAAGTTCAATCCCTGGCCAGGGAGATAACCCACTTATGTGCAGCAGACCTCTCCTGTCTCACCCACTGCTCCCTTTATCAGTGTATTTCAGAAGCTCTGCCAGTCCTGATCCCCACTTTGTCTCTAGTGAATCCTCTCTCCCCTACACCTCTGGCCTGCACTCCAGTTCTTCTACACAAAAAGATTAAAACAAAACTGCACAGAATTTAAGTAAGAATAGAGACAAGAGAGAAACAACTCATGTCTCTTAATTCCCCTCAGAGACCAGACAGATGCATCCACATAGTCACCCCCAGAGCTACTTATACCCTCCTGGAGGTGCCATCTGTACTCCAGGACCCACCTGCTGCATTGTAAGAATACTCACCACAGCTACGTATTCCCCTACCCACCTTCTTTCCTTTGTTATTGATGTTCCAGCAGGTCCTTCTTCAACTGCAGTTTGACTAACCAATCTACATTTATAAAACCACATCAGAAGCTCACAGCATATTCACCTGCAAGAAAGGCTGTAGAAAGTCTCCAGGCTGTTAGTTTTCTCTGTTAGTTCTGAGTTTATGCTCATAAATATTGGATTAAAAACTGGAGTAAAGTGTTTCTCTTCTCTTGATCCTTGGCCCATGAATGAACTGTTATATCCTAGCAAGTACTCTGAAGTTGACTTTGTCCCCAAGTTCTCTCATATTCATAGCAGTTGTTTAGCTTAATATGCCTGGTAATGGAAATTAAGTACCTTTATGAAATGTGTAGGGATCTGCCTGAAAACCTTTGAATTATCTTGTCAATTCTATCTTGAGTTGGTGCAATGTAATGAACAAGAATACAGGTTTTAGCATTAAAAGATGATTGACAGTTGTAGTAGCTCTTATCCGAAAGTTGAGGCAAGTGAAATTCAGGACATTTGTAAAGGAGTTAATACTGGTCTTGAGTGCCCTGCCATCAGAGATCACCAGGCACACCTGTAATGAATGCAGTTGGGAGTATTGGCTAATTGTAGTAAGGGAGCGTGTGTGTGCTGCAGAGAACATTGGGCATCTCAGTAGTTAATCATCATATGTTTGCACAAAATGATTTTTTAACAAACTTACCACACTTCACAAAAAAAAAAGAAGAAGAATATACTCATAAACTTAAAGAAGATAGTATTATGAGTATTTTGTTTGTGAGAAAGGCTCAAAATGTGTCCGTTGTTATTTACTCACTGGCCACTAGATGGTGCGGTTTGTTAATGTATTGCCTCAACAATTTCCTGGTGAGCTCTTTTCTTGGCTAATTATTACCAGTTTAGAAGTTTAAGACTTTAAGTGACCTTAGAGATAACCAGTGTGACAACATCTGTACCAAAATCTCAGACCCCTGATATCTCCCTGGCAATGTGTAGTGCCCCTTACAGAAAAGGTATGGAAAACTGTTTCAAAAGAAACTTAAAAGATGAAATTTTTACAGCAATAATCAAAAAACACAGGATGTGATGCTTGAACAGAAGCTTTCACTATATAAATACTTTTCTATGATAATATAAATTTTATTGTTGCAGAAAAAAATTTCTCCCTTGCATAGGCTTGAGCAAAGTTGATCCTGCCTACTGCTGTAGCATTTAACACGTATTGCAGCTAAGTTAACCAAACCCTACTTCTAAACTCAGATCAGGTGAAGGTCGCCAGATACCAGAAGTGAAATTCAGGACGTTTGTAAAGGAGTTAAGAGCAGTGTTTAATGCCCTGCCATCAAAGGTCATCAGGCACACCTGTAGTGAACGCAGTTGGGAGTATTGGCTAATTGTAATAAGGAAGTGTGTGTTCGCTAGGGATGTCATTGGACATCTCAGTAGGAGGGTGAGAGTCTCAGGCAAGACCCTAGTCAAAGTAGATGTGGATTGTCAGAAAAGGGACTTAGGAAAAAAGTTATCCTTGTTTGTTAAGTTATGTACTATGAGGGTGGTTTGTGTGGGATTCTGCTTTCTAAGAATTCTGGCCTTTAGAGTGAACGAGTTGATGCCACAGAGATTTATGCTTTTTGAAATAGCAGTTTTGAAATGGTAGGAGGCAGCCTGGTTGATCCTAAGAATGTGACAACTGAGTAAAATGGACTTCTTTTAACTTCATCCCTTTTTTTTTTTTTTTTTTTTGCATCCTGATTGGGCTACTTATGTTTTAAGATAGATGCTATATAATCTTTTACAATTTTGTTTAGAACATTATAAAGACCTTAAGATGCTTAAAAATAACTTCATGCAAAAAAAAATAACTTCATGCTGCTTTCTTTGATAAACTGACTGAACAGAGACACTAAATAACAATTATTTTTAAATGCTGTTACTTTTTCTGTTTTGTTGTTATCTGCTCTAGGTGCAAAAATCAAGAAATAAGCAAGTAAGAGAATTATTCCCAGATGGCTTTAGTATTCATCATGCAGGAATGCTTCGGCAGGACAGAAATTTGGTTGAAAATTTGTTTTCTAATGGGCATATAAAAGTCCTTGTCTGTACAGCTACGTTAGCCTGGGGTGTCAATCTTCCTGCTCATGCTGTTATTATTAAGGTAAGAGCTGACCTTCCTATGTTCATGAATTTGTGTATGTCTTAAAACAAACCTGTGAAATTGATGTATTTAGAAATCTATTGTAATGTGGCAGTTTCATTGACTTTTAATGTTATTTATAGAAGAGCAGAATTATTTTCTCCAAAAGAATCTAACTTATGTTGTGGAAAATTAACTCTGTCACAGATGATGAAAGGATTAGTTAAAGTACACTTTGGATACCTTACCATATTTGCCTAATTTCAGCATTCAGCTCATCAGGATTACATTTGTGTTTGTTTATGTAAATTTTTATTAACATTTCCTCATCTAGGGAACACAAATCTATGCCGCAAAGAGAGGTTCCTTTGTTGACCTTGGAATTTTAGATGTCATGCAGATATTTGGTCGAGCTGGAAGACCACAATTTGACACATTTGGAGAAGGAATCATCATAACAACACATGATAAGCTCAGCCATTACCTCACTTTGCTCACTCAACAAAATCCAATTGAGAGTCAGTTTCTGGAAAGCCTTGCAGATAACCTAAATGCAGAGGTAAGAACAACTAAATAAAAAGGTTGTAATGGAATCATTAGCTTCAAGAATGACCAATAAAGGTTGGATTGATTGCTATTTTGTAGTATTTAGGAATACAGCTTATGCCTTACATATTCATAAGACACAAGATTGAATGGCAGTATTATTGATTTGTTCAGAACTCTCTAGAATGTAAATAATAACTAATAAAAATGATACTAAAAATAATAAGTTTTAAATTACGAGTTTTTATTTATAGGACAGAAACTAAAGAAAGCTATACAAAGCAAGGAAGCAACAGCACTTGACTAAGTTTTTACACAGTATTTTATAAAGTTTTGTAAGGCTTATAAAACTCCATTAGGTCATTTGATTTTTATTATATAAAATGATTGCTTAAATTGAGCAGGGATAACATAATTTGTTTCATGTGTACATGTGCATTTTGTATTAAGACTTAAATAGCAAATTCTGAAAGCCTAGGTAACATCTTAACCTGTAAAAAAAGCTTAATGTTCTTTTATTCAAGATTCTGTGTGTCAGACATTCAAGTGAGGTTTCACTGTTTTCATGATACTTTTAATTATTCTCACAGTCAACACTTTACTACTTTTTTTTTAACCTTTAAAAGGTTTTTGAAGGACAGTGGGGTGAAAATATGAGATGGATTAATAAACAGACTACTAACCGGATACTATATCCTATATCAGATTTCTCTATTTAGTTCTTTCTATTAAGTAGTGTGTAGTCCACAGGGGAGAAAAGTGTGCAGGAGCACAGTGCAGTAATGTTGGAAAGTATTAAATTCCATGGAAGCTGTCAGTAAAAGAAAAAAAATACTTTCAGATATCAGGCTTTGTTCATGAAGGTGGTGAAATTGATCTGGGTTCCAAAGGACAGATAAAATTTGGGAGACCGGTTGGAAGTTAGAAAAAAAATATGAAAGACACTTGCCTTTAACCATAATACAAGAAAATTAATATTAATAAATAAGTTTCGATCACAAAAAGATATTTTAAATTCAGTCTGCATTGCCTACGATTACTGCATGGTTAGGTATGGATGGGTCACCATCCAATGATAGAAAAACCTGTTACAGCATAATAGTAATCCTAACTGTACTGTAAAAGCCAGAGACTCTGATGGGTACTTCTTGTATGTTCCCTCACCCCTTAACATTCCTGCTAAGTAGAAATTATTGTTCTCACAGAGATATATAGCTGGTATAGAGGTCATTCAACTATTCATTTTGAAACTAGGTCTGTTTAACTCCAAAGTTAGTCTTTTCATTATAGCCTAGATTGTTATCTTATAAATTAAAGGTGAATATGTTAAATGGAAGTCATGAAATACTTGATTTATAGATCCAGGATTTTTCATGCAGTTTTTCTGGAAAAGCATATCAAGGAAGACTATATAATTTATAAGCCAAGAATAGCTGTCCTTGATAGATTTTGTAAATAGTAAACACAAAATGACAAGGTAGAAAACACAGGTAAATGAAGTACTGCTTTTATCCTTTATGAACTTTCTTACTTAGGGACAGATTAACATCAGTGAAAATATTTGGTCCATTTCCGAGAAATTAAAAGTAAATTACAATCTATTGATTCACTTCATAATATTTATATAGGATATATCATTTTCAGAAAGACCAGCTAATAACTCTAACCATAATTCTATTTAATGCCTTATGACAGTAAATAATGAAACATATACCTTGAAATTTTTAGCAAGTATATTAAAGGATAGCCATTGCTAAAATGTCTTTTTTATATTTGGTGCACTGGAATAATTCTCAGTTAAAAAAAGTTTTCTTGTTAAGGAAACAAATGCCCTTAAATTGTAGTAAGTAGGAAATTAAATTGATAAACTGTGGAAACCTGGTGAAAATTACTTTATGAAGAATGTATATTGTTCTTAAGATAATGGACTTTTAAGTGTTGTAGTGGTCAACTGCTAATGTTGCATCTGCTAATGCCTTTCATAACATTATAATCAGTTCTCATCATTATGTTAGAGAAAGTATTACATTGAATAATAATTTAATGCAAGCATTTTAATGAGGCATCTTTGTTCATTGATGCCTGATGGTGCTTAGTCTCTAAATCTATTGTCAAAAATCACAAGACCTAGCCCTGTACAACATAATTTTGCACTGAAAGGTAACTGGAGCATGTTATTTAAATTTCTTCAACAGGCATTCTAGGTATCTACTTTGTACCAGACTTCCATAGTCCATACTTTAAAATATGTTAACCTATCTGTAATTGTATATTCACTCCTTATTTTGAGTCCTTCTCTCTCTGCAAGTAGTGCTACAAACACCTCCTCCTTGTATTCAAGGCCTCCACAGTCTGACCAACCTTCACACTTTGGGTTCAAGTTATTGTCTAACATAGGTTTTCTGTTCTAACCAGGTTTTTTTCTCACTGCATTTCAAGTCTCAAATTTTTATCTATAAAATAGAGATAAGCTCACTGGTTGTTACAAAAATTTAGCAAAGATCTATCTCAAGTTGGTGTTCAGTGAAATATTGTATTGCTTTCCATTATCTCATAATCCCCTTGATACTCAGCCCAATTTATATTTAATGCCTGCACACAGATTTCAGTTGAACAAATAAGTGGTGAGCAATTAAGGTAACTTTAAAGAGTAAAGTTTGACTAGCTAAAGTTAAATATAAAGTGATATTTTGAGTCCCAATTCTAAATTCCTAAATACCCCAAATTTGAGGTGTATCCCTCCCTCCCCCCACAATCTGTTACTCAGGAGAACACAAAGCTCTGTTGTAGCATATTTTTATGGCACTTTTATTAGACTCACATATTAGAAGTTCTTTAAAAGCTTTTTGGAATATGAATTTACTGCTTGGCACTGTGGATGGTGGGTTCATTTCTGTCATCTTAGGTACATGTATCTTAAAAGACTAGGAAACTTCTTGAGACCTGAGACTGTGCTCTGTTTGTCACATATTCATTATCTTTTCATTGTATATGACATGAAGTAATATATTCTGCATTTCTTTATGATTACTGTGAAAAATGGATAAATTTTAAAAAGATAATTGAAAAATACATTTTATAAAATATTCCTATACTAAGTAACCACTAGATGACAGCAAGTATTTACAAGTAAATCTTTATTTTTATCACTAGGTGGCATTCAAGTATTAATTTCAAATATGATGTAATATTATAATTGACTTTCATTTTTCTGGGTCATCTGTTTCTTTTTGGTGGATTTGTAGTATTTAATCCAATCTTTGTTACCTACTTCCACCTTTAATCTTATTAACAAAAAGTGATTATTAATGTTAATTTACTGTGTCTTATTTTGCAAATAATAGTAAACCTGTTTCATCCTTTAAAAAAATTTCTACTCTTAGGAGTTGTATGATATTATTTAGAAATATCTGTAGGTCACAAGGAAATAAACAGTTTGACTGCCAAATAATGGAACCACAAGCTAGATACCCTATCAGATTTTTGGCCATATTGCAAACTAATTTCTTCACCTCGGCAGACTAAAAAATGTGTAATTGTAGCTCAATTTATGTCTTGTTGGTCTGCATTTTGTAGAAAATCTCACAGTTCACATTTTAGAACATGTATTATTCATGTATTTTATGGATGGTTTAGTCATTCTTAAATAATGTTGGTGTACATTTTTTTCCAGTTCTGTGTAGATACATTGATATGACAACATGCAAGGTTATACGAACTGATACATGTATATACTGTAAAATATTTATCACAATAAAGTTAGTAAATACATCCTTCACTTCACATAATGACTATTTTTTGTTGTTATGATGAGACATTAAGGCTCTCTTCATACCATAGCTTTCAAGAAAATAATAAAGGGTTAAGTAAAGTCACCGTGCTAGATATTAGGTCCCCAGAAATTGTTTCCCTAATATTGAAAGTTGGTGCCCATTAACCACCATCTTCCCACTTCCTCTACCTCTCAACCCCTGGCAGCCATTCTACTTTGTTTCTGAGTTGATGGTTCAATTTCCACATATAAGGGAGCTCTTATAGATGTCTTTCTCACTCTTACTTGTTGCAACTTGATGTTAATTTATATGTAAATAGTCACTCTGTCTCACCTTTTTTTGCCTTTTGATCATTTTTAATGACAAATATTAATGATGTATTATAATGACATTTATATATTAACTATTTCTTCTTAACTAACTAAAGATAGCTGAGCAGTATCATATTTATTTTACAAACCTGCTTATACAGAATTAAGAATTAAAACAGAAATAAAACAAATATAAAGTCTTTTCCTTGATATTCAGCATTAAACTGAGAGGGTTTGCTTTGCCTTTTTTTTTATTTTCTCCTAAAATGTAAAAATTTACATAGGGAACAACTGCCCTTCTTTGATTAAAGTATTAAGAACTTAAAAAAAATAATTACACATTCCCAAAAAATTACACAATTAATTCACAACTCGAATGAACTTTTAAACTAAACACTTTAAGTAAGAGCAAAATGACTGCTGGAGACTAGTGGCCAAGAAAATTTATCTTTTAGAAAACTTTTCACTGAGATTCTTTCTTAGGGCCATAGAAATTTCTAACAATCCTTGACCTTTTATTTTACTCCACTTATATACTATTGTTACAATAGTTACAATCCTTAACCTTTATTTTACTCAACTTACACAACTATTGTTGTGTTTTAAATTATTTCTTTTGTGTGCATATTGTATATTTATACTGGCAGTCATACATAAGGTTTATATTTAGAGGTAAAAAAATATGTGATGCCCTCGTGGTTTAGTATTGACTATACATAGAATCACAAAGAGGTGTATTACTTGAGGTTTACATAGTTTTGATTCTAGTGCATTTACCCTAATATTTTCAGTAATTTGTTCACATAAAATGAAACCAAAAGAAAGAGGAAACAAGGAAAATTAATGAATAACAGAGATTTTTTAACACTGTGTGAAATTAAAGCCTATTTAGATTTTAAAAAAGAAAAAGCATATACCATAATATAATTAAGTTCAGTTTGGGAAGATAGTATTTCTAATAAATGAGACAGGATTTTTAATTAATTGGAGAAATCTTGTGTCTAGTAATTGTGCTTACCTTCTTTTCCGTACAGCATCATGTTGTATATTTTAATCTTAACTTTTGATGGGATGGTCTTTCATTTAATAACTATATTTGATTTTAGTGCATTACTTTTATTTTTTTTGTTTGTTTGTTTGTTTTTTTACAGATTGCTCTGGGAACAGTTACTAATGTAGAAGAAGCAGTGAAGTGGATAAGTTACACTTATCTTTATGTCCGGATGAGAGCAAATCCATTAGTATATGGCATCAGTCACAAGGCTTATCAGGTAGGAAACTCATTTATTTAAAAAAAAAAAAAAAAACTTTTTGGTTGTGATTTTGTGACCCTTTCATAATGAAGATAAATATTTGCTATTCCTGCCTCATCTCAAAAAAGTTAGGGACCTGGAAGAAAAACAAAGCTTTAATCTTTTTTAGAAAAATTATTTCATTCTAATTGTATCTTTTCCAAAAAACAGTAATAAATCAACCCTCGTAATATTATCACTTTATTATTCAAGTACCTTTTTATTTGATATTAAGATATTTTGCTGTAAACTTTCAAAAACTGATAAAGACAGTAACGGAATAAACAGATTTGAGAAGATTTATAGACTACTTTTAATAAGAGACTTGTTTTATGCAGTGTGATCTTATTATCAAATCACCCCTAATTCCTTATTTTTAAATTAAAGGAATAGCATGGATGAGTTATTAATTTAACCGCTTGAGGCTGCACACACTTCTACTTTATACACAGACTGAAAATCAGATGCATGTAGTAGCAGCTGTGCAAATGAATTTATAGTTGTGTGTTCCATGAGGTTTATAGGTTCTGTGATTTTTTGTCTTTTCCTTGGAACTTTGTTTTATACCATGTAAAAGATTCCTAATTACAGATACAATAAGTTGTTGTCTAATGAAAACATTGTTTTTCTACCATAATTTAGATATTCACTAGCATTAAGTCAAATTATGAGCAGAATTATATAGTTAGTCCCTTCATTACTGATAACTTTGTTTTTATATATACTTCATTGTGTCACCAAATAGTGGTCTTTTTTTTTTTTTTTTTTTGGTCTGAAGCTATTAATCTGGATTCATAAAGTGTTTATACTTAGGTTTATGCTAGATAGTATTCATCTACCTCTCTTCTGCTGAGTTTAAATTTGTGCTAATCTTAGTATCTTCTTTTGGAGCCAAATTGCTGTCATTTGTAAAATGTGGGTGCATTAGAATCATGTAAGTTTTACAGAATTTCATACATGCTTTTCTCCTTACAAATATGGGATTTGTGAACTAGTCAGTGACACTATGAAATATTCTCAAGTGGTAAAGCAAAACAAAACATGTGTTTTCGCAGGCTAAGCCAACTCAAATCTTGGGACAAGGTAAACATATCAATTGATTTTTAAGGACTCAGTTAATATCAAAAGTCATTTTTGTTTAATTTTCTAAGGTAAAGAAAGTGATTTTTTTCTTCTTAGATACATAGTTTTGTTGCCTTAACTGTTCAGAGACTCTTACTTTTTTTTTTCACTTGTTTTTTACTAAATTATTCAGTATGAGTCTGTAGCCACAAAACTCAGAAGACATAACGCAATGTTGTCCTTTGATGTATTTAATGGCTTAGTAATTATGTAATTAATAGGATGTTTTAATAAGAGGAAACTGATAACATAATTATAACTCTTGTAACAAATATTTTAGACTTTGTATTTGCTAATGATTCATAACTCCCATCTTACATTCCATAGTTGATTTGTCTTTGCCTCATTATTTAACTTTATTTTAAATATTTTAAATGTATTTTAGTTATATAAACTGCCATAAAAATGTAACTTAAAATAATGGTAGGGGCATTAACTTATGAATCGATTTCTAATGTATTTCTAATGTATTTTATACTCCCTCCTCTACCCTTAAAAGTTATATTTTACTTTATTGCTCATTAGCAAAAAGTGTTCTCCAGGACATGGCATATGACATGTATGTATACATATATATAATTACATTTGTTTATGCAGTCATCACAGTAATGGAGATATTTGTTAATATCTTATGTTAATGCCCTTTCTGTGTAGAAAAAGCCTCATATAATAGGTTCAGAGTTATTCAGAAATTCATTGTAAACTTTATTTTACTGTGTGATTCTGTCATTTTTGGCAAAGAGGATTTCCCATCAGCAGTTATGAAAACTGTTGAATAGTAAACCATACTTTTGAAAAGAAAATTTTGCATTTTGTATAGCTTTACTTTGATAAAGGAATTTTATTTTTTCTTTAAAAAATGGATAATGTTGAAATCTACTTTAATGTTTTTAAATCTTTATTTTAGTGTGGGAGGGCAGAAGATACTGATTCCAGTCTTTATAATCTTAAAGACTATTTAAGACCAGATAAAAATTTTTGATCCCCATAAGTAAGTATACCTTTACAAATGATGAGTGCTAAAGAAATAAGCAAGTGATTATATTTTCTTTCCTAGATGGACCCAACATTAGCAAAGCATCGAGAACAGTTGGTTATTGAGGTTGGACGAAAATTAGACAAAGCTCGGATGATTCGTTTTGAGGAGAGAACTGGATATTTTTCCTCAACCGATTTGGGTAGAACTGCCAGCCATTATTATATTAAATACAACACCATTGAGGTATTATACTTAGTAGAACTAATATAATAATAATATATTTCCTAGATGTAAGTACTTTCTAGACTTCAAAATACAGCATTAATGCAGAATAACAAAGTTATTAATAGAGCAAAATGCATTTAACTTGCGTGAACTCAGTAGCATACACTCTTTAAAGATATGAAAGATATAAGACTTTGCATATTAAGGACCCTTTTGCCATCTGTTTCATGAGTATATCCCAAGTAGGAGATACACCCAAGTCTAAAACAGTTGAACTTGTTGGTGAGACCTATGAAAGGAATACCTGAATGTTTTGAAGTGGGAAGTGATGCTTTAAAGATATCCTCAATGAAAAGTTAAAAATTACTGAGTAATGAGAAACACTAGTAAGATGAATTATAAAAACCAATAAAATTAGCACTCAGCCTAGTTGTACTTTTTGGGGAATTTAAGAGATTTGCAAAGTTAACTTTGACTATAACTATAGTGTTCCTTTTTGCCTCTTAACATCATTTTATGCATGAGTGAGTGCCACTATGACTTTTACATTTTAGGTGACATTTTCATGGCTTCATGTGTGGTTTATATACGTATGTATGTAATTAAATGGAAAAACTTAATTCTAATTACTTATGAGGAGAGGACTTAATTGAAGAAGATAGGTAATATGAATTTTTACTTTTATAGAAAGTATGGATTTTTTCAATCTATTCATTTCTAAATTTTGTAACTAAAACTGTTTTTAAAATGGAAAAGTAATGAAAATCATTAAGATGAAATTTCTTCAGAAATCTTAAACCTAGACAATATGAAATCTGTGTTTTATATCTTTAACATGGACTTACATATAGGTGGTTTTTAAAAATACTTTTCTGTGCATACTGGCTTTTACTTATCTTTTGCAAAATAAACCTTATATTTGCATAGCAGTTTAGGCTTCTTCAAAGTCTTTTTCATCTATTGGATTAAGTTTTCTTTTAAATTGTACTTTTTTTGAGGCAATGTTGGTGTACAACACTGAGTGTGACACAGAGATGTAGGGTCACACCTCTTCAGATGTATGTTACATACCACACTCACCAGCAATGTACCCACAGTTCCCCACATTAGTCCATGGGGGTGACGCACCCCTAGGCTACCCTTCCAACCACCCTTTCTGGTAGTGTCAGTTCTCTTTTTTTTTTTTTCAAAGATTTAATTCATTTTAAAAAAAGATATATTTTGTATTTGCACACACGAACTGGGGTGTATGCCAGAGCTGCAGTGGGTGAAGGGTGAAGTTGACAGGATTCACCAGACAGAGTAGGGAGCAGAACAGGCAGATGTATTGAAATACACTGCTGAAAGGAGCATTGGGCAAGACAGGAGATGTCTGCCACACCATGAGGTCAGCTCCCTGGCCTGGATCAAATTAGTGCTGCAGTAACTGCCAATAGTGTCATAGTACTGAAGCTTAACCCCTTGAACCACCAGGGAGGCCCCACTGGTAGCATAAATTCTACAGTCATATTTTCAGGGTTTCTTTATATTCATCAACATGAATGAAATCCTCAAGTACTTGTCTTTATCTGACTTATCTCACTTAACATAACCTTCAGAGTCTTTGAACATATATATCCTCACAACTGTGATCTCATGGTTCCTTGACCCAAAGCATTTTTCCTAGTTGTCTAGTGCTTCTGTTATCTACTCTCCCAGTTTCCTCACTAGTCATATTATGATTTCTTTGGCAGAATCTTCAGGTTACATATTTTTAGGTGTTCCTCTCTGACTGTTATGATTTATGATTAGCTGATAGTTGATGGATAGTGCAGACTTCCATGTCCCTTTGCTAAAAATGAGCAAAAACTAGAAAGTTATGCTGAATATTTTGAAAAATATCTAAGGTTAAGTTTTATTAACTGATCTTGTTGATCTTTTTTTGCTTCAAAGGTCTTCACTGGCTAGTTATGTTTTGGGAAGATTTTCAAGTGTTTGATAAATTTTGATGTTTATAAAACAATTTAATGACTTATGTATATGAAGAATTGATTTGGAATAGTATGTCACAAATAAAACTTCGTTGTCTGATGCTCAAATGTTCTTTAAGAATATGTGATTTATAATCATGTCTTTAATTTAAAATATTTCACTGGACTTTTATTTCAATCAACTATAACACTTACTTTGTAGACCTTCAATGAACTATTTGATGCTCACAAAACAGAGAGTGATATTCTTGCTATAGTCTCCAAAGCTGAAGAATTTGATCAAATTAAGGTATGATCACTTAAAGTTTGAGTCAAATGTATGTAAAATATATCAATATATGCCTTCCTTCAATTATATCTAATTAATTGTATTCCTGATAGAATATAAGCTATATGGCATTTTACATTTATTATATCTTCATTTATCAACAGTATCTATTATCCTAAATTATTATGACATATCTGACATAATTCTTTTACTCGACTGCAAATCAAACAATTGAAATAGGTTTTCCAACAATGAAAAGTATTAAAGAATGTAGTATGCGGTACTATGAGGTTTGCTGAAGAAAATATAAAGGACATGCATGATTCAAACTTACATATGAATATTTCTGTGCCCATGTTATAATTTAATCTTATTAACAGTGGAAACTTTAATACTTTGAATCCTAGTACTTCATAGCATTAAGCTATGAATGTGTTATGCCATATAAAGTGATATGACTATAATGAATGCATTTGAAGATAATTCAAGTTTGCCCTAATCCATTTGGGCAGAGGTTTTACTCTGGTCAAATAAAAAATGAAATCTCATCATCTGAAAGATGGTGAGGTCAGAAGATTTAATTTTTGTGGTATATCAAATTTTTATATGTCAATGGCAACTTTAATATTGTGATGAATAAAAAATGTAATTTTATCAGCTTCAAGATAGTCTCTTCTTGTATTTTTATTAGCTACCTGTGTGGGGGTAAATATTACTGTTTAGTATTACAAAAAGAAAATGGCGAGTCATAATAAATTGGAAACTTTTTTAAAGCATGCAACGTAGTTTTAACTTCAATATGAAAAATTTCTATAAATCAGCTTTAATAATCCTATAAAAACATTGATTCTTCCAGGTCAGAGAAGAGGAAATAGAGGAGTTAGATACCTTATTAAACAATTTCTGTGAGCTCTCAGCTCCTGGAGGTGTTGAGAACAGCTATGGGAAAATAAATATCCTACTACAAACTTACATCAGTCGAGGAGAGATGGACAGTTTCTCCCTTATATCAGATTCTGCATATGTTGCACAGGTAGGTCAATGCTCTCTTCCTGTATTCCTTCTTTATTTTTAGCAATAAAATTTTTTTTCTTTATTTTTATGCTGTGAACATAATGTATTATAACATACTACCAAATTATCCTTGTGTTTTAGACTAGTTCTGTTTAACTTGTGCATCTTTTATCATCTCTAAATCAGAATCACATGAGTAATTGGTTGGATTTATTGGTTGATTTGGTGCATCTTGATATTCCTATTGCTTGCATTTTAGCATTTTGAAAAATCAGTATCTGGTTTTTTTCTTGCTTCAAAATGATAAAGTTCATTTATTTTACTTGTAAAGAGCAGTGAGACAAAAATGTGTTTAAAAAGACTGGAACCTTTTGTAGCTTTCTCCAAATGTTAAAAGTTAAACAAAAAGAAATTGACTTTAAATAAGGGTTAATAAATATATCCCATACCATATACTCAGTGTGGTAAGTCTATGGGAAAACAAAATCTTTTTTCCCTACTATTGATACTTAAAAATTAAAGACTAAAAGAAAACTATTTCCTTACTTTCATATCACTTAATATATACTTTAAAAAAAAAGTCTACACTGTTTTAATATTTATGTTTATGAGTTCATACGCTCATATGAAGTAATAAAGGTATATTTGTTGTTTTTGAGGACTTAGAGGCATGTATCTTTCAAATGAGTCTTCTTGTACAGACATACTTTTAAAACATACTCATCAAAAATACTTTTTTCATTATTTTTGTTGAGTAATACCTCTAAGTTAAGAAATAAAAGCTTGCTTTTAAGTATAGGAACTCATAGACAAAGTATTTTATGTGTGTGATTTTTGTTCAAAGACTTCATAGGAAAAGTATGTTGTGTTAAATGAATTATTAACAGCCATGATTACCCAAATAACTGTACACACAAAATGTTTACAAACATGGACCAAGATCTATTGGCAAACAAATTGAATGAATGTGGTAATTTAATCAAAGTAACCAAGATACCAGTGACAATTTCATGTTCTATACAAAGTAAATGTGGACATGGTAAAAATCTTTTTCCCATTTTGAACACATTTCTCCTATAGAAATAATATATATTCTCCAAACACGATAGCTCCTATAGGAGCCACTGTTTCTAACTTGTGTTTTAACTTGTTTTTCTAGAAATAAATAAACAAGTTGCTTTACAATATTAAAATTTATGGTTTCTTCATGTTTGGTGCTCATAAAGCCACTCAGGAGATTAAGGTTACATCTCAGATGACTCTGGTTATTCTTAAATAACAATTTTAGACTTATCATCCATGAGTACATTACATAATTATTCTTGAATCAATTCATATTTTAAATTTAACTCATCAGTGATTCCACAGTTTTTCAACTTTGTAAAATGCTTTTGCCTTCTATATTTCTGAAACTTTATTCTCTCAACATTTTAAATGAATTTTTCTATTCTAGGATCCTTTTCAAGTAGCCTAAGATTTTACAATGTTGTCTGTGTAACTTCTCTGGACTGCAAATGTTAGAGAGTTTGATTATTATTTCCATTCAATTAACTTCATTCCAGATTAAATGTTCTATTTGTATCTTGTCATATGGTATTTCTCTTTCATTTCTCTTCATTTCATTTAGCTTCTAGGAAGCAGTTACTAGCCCTGAAATATAAAAATAAAACACTTTCAGGTATATAATTGGGAGAATTAACCTGGCTGTAATTTACAGAAGTAACTAGAAATATAGGAAGACCTATTTGACTGGTATAATAATCAAAATATTTATTTTATATATTATTTTCTTGGCCTACTCAGGGCTTTCTGTATTTTTAATGAATATCAGAACTGTACTCATACTTCTAGATGTAGTTTTTGTTCTTAAATTTCTAATACTGAAACAAAATATTGAACTTGTCAAAAGACAAATACATATTTTATATAAAATATAAAGCGAAAGTCTATAGCTCAGATCATTTTTGATCTCACTATTTCAGGCTGGATCATCTTTTTACTATTTAAAGTCTGCTTTTTTTCATCTTTTTATGACTTGAACTGCATTCAATGTTCTTCATTTTCAAATACAGATGTCATTTGATATTGTAAGGTATCTCCAAGTCCATGATTATAGAAACAGTCTACAATAAAACTGTCTTCAAAGTTAATGTTAGAAGGAAGGAGGCTTTGTTCTTTAAGTTCTTTAGTTTTAAATATTCCATTGTGGGTGGGGACAAAATGAGGGGGGAGCCCAGTTATGTATAATAAAGGGGTACAGTTGCTCTGGGATGGGTGTGATGTACATCTGAGGTATGAACCTATTCCCCTGAATTACATACAGTGTTATAAGCCAGTCTTGCCTCAAATTAATTTTTTTTAAAAGAAGAGGCAAAACAAATGAAAACTAAATATAGAGGTATGAATATGCACTCCAGTCTTTGTAACTTTTTATGTCTGTTAAAGAAGTTATCCTCGGACCACTGAATTTAGACTATTGGGGTTAAGATTGTTATTGCTTAGAACTGGCTTAACAAAGATATTCTGACACCAACCATCTATGTAACCTTTATAAAATTATTAACTTCTTCAAACCCCATTTTCTTCATTTGTAAAATCACACTATTGAGACCATTCAAGTGCAGTGGTAGAAAGATCAAGTGAAACAATATATGTAAACATTTGTCACTTTGCTCAGTTTATAGGAAACCATTAATGTGGGTAAGTTCACACATCAATGTTTTTTTTATTACCTTCTTTCACTAATTTTCTTCCTCCTGACTTGATCCCAAAATCTTCCTTATTTCTCCTTTAAATGGTATTGTAAATTTAAGTATTCCTCTGTGTGCTCAGGGGCCTCATCAGTTATCTAGATAGCCTCAACAGCCCCCTTGATACTTCACATGCCTTTGTCTCTGCTTCTTTTTTTTCTTATTTTTTTATTAATTTATATATTTATATACATTACTATTCATTTTAAAATGTCTCTTATACTTCTACACAGGGGTGTAGGAGTAGAGCTTCAAAGAACCTGGAAGTAAGACTATATACTTAGAGTTAAACAGGATGACATCCACCTATAAAGGATATGATTATTCTGGTGTAGAAATAATAAGGATACTTTAGGGTCGTATGAGAATAGTTGTTGCCCACAATGAAAAGATGTAGAGATGTAGCTTGACATACTTCTTTTGAAACTGAGTCTGAGTAATAAATTTATTTAGAAATTTAAAAGCACATTGAACCTAACAACCAATTCCTCCTTTTATTCTTCAGAATGCAGCTAGAATAGTCCGTGCTCTTTTTGAAATTGCTCTGAGGAAACGTTGGCCTGCCATGACCTACAAGCTCCTGAATCTTAGTAAAGTTATCGACAAGAGGCTTTGGGGTTGGGCTAGCCCTTTGAGGCAATTTTCAACCTTACCACCACACATTCTAACAAGATTAGAAGAAAAAAATCTTAGTGTGGACAAGCTGAAAGACATGAGGAAAGATGAAATAGGTAACTATGGGAAAAAAATGTTTGAATGTAGTGTTCTGTGCATAAGTTTTACTAGGTGTCAAAGAAATGTATTATGAATTTTCATGTTACTCATGATGGACCTTTACCATTTTTTGAAATTTCTTTTGAAGTCTAAACTCAAGCAGAATTTCCTATAAGTTTTGTAATGTTCCTTGAAAGAATTAGCAGTTAGAGGGGAGTTTAGATTGTCCAAACCTTAAGTATGAAGTTTATTCTTTGTTGCTTAATTCTTTGAAAAGTCTTCTGTTGTTCCTGATATTACAGGAAAAAATCAACATTAAACTATATTTCTTTAGAGTTTCTAAGTAAGCTTCACCATTATACTCACATGTCTTTAAACCTTCTTAGTATCTGTGTGTAAACAGCATTTGGTCATCTGCCTTTTTTCACATAATATTAAAAATGTATTCCTATGCATTTCCATGTACCTTAACATCTTATTAGGCAAATACATAAATTAGGTAATATTTCAGATTCTGAATAGAATGAAGGAAGTCTGACTAAAAAGAAAATGAGTGGAAAGATTACTGCTGACACAAGGCCCAAAACTGAGATAGTATTTTACTTGTGTAATGAGAAAAATAGCAAAGATAGAGTGGAAGAAGGGAGAGGTTCACATAAACAGGCTGAAATTGGGGTATTGACTAGGGAAGTTGAAAGTACTAACATTAGGGTAGAATATAACTATGTTATCAATAAAGGGAAGACCACTTTAATTTCAAATTCAGATGAACATGTAATACTGTTATTTGTTCATAAATGCATTTTAAGATATTTTGTGAACTATCTTTGTTGCTTGGACGAAAATAGAAAAATCTATATAGTTAGTCACACTTTTTTGTAGTACCTTCCCATCCCACTACTTCTATATAAGCTGTATTTCAGAACTTAATCACTCATGAAAATATATTGAAGTGGTTAATTTTGTGCTATATTGACCATATTTTTATATTTTATCTTTTTTCTGAAAACTGCATATGAGTTTAACTTTATGCTAGATTTACCATATTTTACATTCTTTATCTTGTCTGAAAATGGGTATGAATGGTTGAAATTATTTAACTACCAAAGCATTTCTCATCATAGTTTTAGAGTTCTAAAATAGACCTTGAATAAATTAATGGCTATTTTTAAAAATAACTAAATACATCTATAATGTGTCAAACTAGGAGAAAAGTAAAACTATTTATAGTAATTTAAGGACAATCAATTTTCAGTAATTTTAAGAACCCTATTAATAGGTAAAGAAACCTTGTTAGTGCTTTTCAGAGCTATGAATTGCTAATTTGAGTTAACTATTACAAAATATTCAAACATGCCAGGTCAAGAATGTCAACTATTCTACATAGCAAATCATAAAAAAAGCAATAAAATCACCTTCTCTGAAACGCATTTACAAGTCAGATTATATTACTTTTTTACTGTCTGGACACATTTCTTCTATGTGATGTTTTCCTTACAGGTCACATGCTGCATCATGTGAATATTGGACTCAAGGTCAAACAATGTGTTCACCAAATTCCTTCTGTTACAATGGAAGCATCCATTCAGCCCATCACACGGACTGTCCTCCGAGTGACACTCAGTGTCTGTCCTGATTTCACTTGGAGCGATCAGGTAGAAGGGGAGAACACCTAGATTTCTGTACTGCAGGTTTAACTGCACCTCCTTATGTCTATCCTCAAGCATGTAGAAAATCCTCCAAAAAAAAAAGTACATATTGAAGAGCCATTAAAAACATTGTAGTAATATTTATCAATCCTTATGAAAAATAAATATGATATTGTAAATTATGAACAATGAGAGCCCTTCAGGATATTTAGGAAATCTAAACTGTAAATATTGAGCAATGACTAGGTGGACTCAGCTCTATAGAGACTGCTTAATTCTGTCTGCTTATTTTCTGTTTTCTTCATTTTTGCCACCTCTATTTGCTCTGCCTCATAATGCCAGATTATTATTAGCCTACTGATTCCAGGTTCCGCATGCTGAAAGAGCCCTTATAAAGTCCTAATTACTTCTCAAACTGTCATTCATGTCTTTCCTTTTACTACTGACATTACTTCCTTGGTAATCACCAAAACCTGAATGATTGCCGTGATAAATGACCTTTTCCTCATTTTTCTTAACATTGAGCATTGTACATAGTTTTGAAGATGTCCTTTCTTGGCTGCCATTGCATTCCTGTTTCTGTTTTTACATCTTTCAATCTTCCTTCAAAACCATAGATGTTACATGTGTGAAGATCTACTTTGGGAACCTCTTTTTTGTTTTTTGTTTGTTTGTTTTAGTTAAAGTTGGTTTACATTATTATTTGTGTTTTACAGGGAATAGTATCAGGTGTTGCTCCTACACCAGACCCACCATCAAAGCACTCACAATTCATCCTTATAGTTCTTCATTCAGTCAACAGTTTTGAACAACTAATTTTGCTCTAGTTACAGTTCAAAGAGAACAGTAAAATCCAGATTATAGATACAAAAGCAAGTAAGATTCAGTCCTTTCCTAAAGAAGCCCATGGGAGAAGACAAGGAAATTATTAATTGTAATATAGCAGTTCCTACCCTGCATTATTATAAGATTGTAGTTAAGCATAATAAAATATCTTCTGCAGTAAGTGACATTAGTACATCTACAATTTGAACAAATTTTTTTCAGCATGTATTCAGAAATTACCTATAGACCTAACCCATATCTGCCATTGACCTAGCCTTTAATTCCTTCAATTTCCTCACCTGTAAAGTTTTACAGAGTACTTACTATCTTTCTCATCAAATATCTATAAGGACTAGATGATACATAATTATATTTAATATTTTTATAAATATAAAATATTGTTTTGCATAAAATATTAAATTATCATTAGCCATAAACTCATTTCAAGTATAATATATAAGAAAAATGTTTGAAATACATAGAATACATAGCACTTTCATGTTTTTTACACTGTTATTTTCTATCCATATTGATAATAAATTTCTCACAATTGGGCTTACTTTATTACTGAAGTTAGAGTGCTTAACTGTTTCCATAATTAAATCTATCAGAATGCTTTTAGCTACAAAAAAAAAAAAAAAAAACTGACGCAAGCAAGAAAATATATCTTCTACAATGACAAGTCCACAAGTGATTAGGTCCTAAAGATGACTGGATTTTATTCAAGGACCAAAATCTCTCCATCCTTTTGCTCTGCTGACACTAATGACTACTTTTCAAGTATTTTTATTTTTCCTGTTCACTTTTAAAGAGGAGATAAACACTCCCCCTTTACCAGCTCACTATATCATTATACATTTTATACATTTGTACCTTCCCTTCTATCTAATTGGTCCAGTATTGGGCATGGCCTCTCCCTTACTTCAGTATCTTTGAATATGGGATAACCACCTTCTGAGTGACATGAAATTTAGATAAATACAGACCAAAACTGTTTTGTTACCAGAAAGAGAGAAAAGAATGAATACACAAAATACGATCTGTTTCTCCAATGGGCCATTATCAGTAAAAAGAAATAAGCTACTGATGTATGTTATCATATGAACGAACTGTGAAAACATGGTAGTAAGTGAAAGACATAAAACACTGACGACCACATATTATATGATTGCATGTTTATGAAATATCCCAAGTAGACAAATGAGAAAGAAGTTAAATTGTGGTTGTCAAGAGTCAGACCTTAGCAAGATGGAGGGAGATAGGCACTGGTTGCTAATGGGTACAGGGTTTCTTTTGCGGGGGTGATAAGGCTGTTCAAATATTACCTTACAGAAATAATGCCACAACTTTGTAAATATATATATCTTAAATGTAAACATTGGTAGGTAAATTATCAAAAAAAAAAAAGACTGTTAAGTAAAAGGCAGTGGTGCTCTGCATACAAACAAAATATCCCTTATTTGAGTTATGGTATAGCTATTATTAAGATACTATTTTTCTTGTAGGTTCATGGAACAGTTGGCGAACCCTGGTGGATTTGGGTAGAAGATCCTACAAATGATCATATTTATCACTCAGAATACTTTCTAGTTCTAAAAAAACAGGTAAACATATGTATGTGGCTATATCTGTATCATATATATATTTTTTTTAAAGATTTATTTTTTTATTCATACAGAATTGGGGTACAGGCCAGAGATGTGGAGGGTGATAGGATTCACCAAAGACAGAGTGGGGAGCAGAACAGGCAGATCGGCGAAGTACGCTGCTGAGGGGAGCAGCGGGCGGGTCAGGAGAGGTCTGCCTCACCATGTGGATCACCTCCAGGGCAGGCGGGAATCGAACTCATGCGGAAGAGGTTTAAGCTTCTTTGTGCTGTGCTTTAACCCGCTGCGCCACCAGGGAGGGCCTCATATATTCATACAGAACTGGGGTACAGGCCAGAGATACAGAGGTGAGAGGATTCACCAGAGACAGAGTGGGGTACAGAACAGGCAGATCGACCAAGTACACTGCTGAGGGGAGCAGCGGGCGGGTCAGGAGAGGTCTGCCTCACCATGTGGATCACCTCCAGGGCAGGTGGGAATCGAACTCATGCGGAAGAGGTTTAAGCTTCTTTGTGCTGTGCTTTGACCCGCTGGGCCACCAGGGAGGGCCCCTGTATCATATATTTTATTCTCCAACAAGAAAATATAAACTAAATAGCAGCTTTTGTTTCTACCCGTTTCTCCATAATTACATAGTGCCATTAAAATTTTATTTACTATTTTTTATGTTTTGCTTAGTTTTTAAAAATCAGTAATTAATTGTTACAGTATTGTTATATTCAATGTAATGGTAGTATGAGAAATTGCATTGTAATGTTTATCATCATTTAAAGCACGGCTTCCAGAGGGAATATGGGTAGTATAAATAATTTTTAAATAAATAAGAATAATAACTAAGATGTTATATGAACACAAAGCTAAAGAATATTGAATTCCATTATAAAAGTGGCATCCTTTTCTAAGTTCTCGGTAAGTCCAAGAGAAAAGATTCAGCTTGATGTTAGCAAATCTAACTGAAACCCTCTGGTCACTGGGTAGCTAAAATAGAAATCAAAATATTTTCATTTGTTATACACTGGTCATTATGCCATTGATAAACTTTGGTTCTCCATGTTAATCTTCTGAGTTTTATATAATATTGATACTCTATACAGAAATAAGTCTGTGTTTTTTAACTAAAGAAACAGAAACTAACTTCAAGGTGGGAACTTTGGGTAGAATTTCATAGCAACATTTTGTTCTCCAAGCAGTTGTCTTCATGATTTTCTTCATTTAATGCCAGGTGATTCTGTTATTCTTCTTAAAATAATAATTGAATTTTTAAAATATTAATAAATAATGGTAAAATCGTGAATGAATGCAGGTTAGAAAATTCTTTAAAAATAAATAAAAGAAATTATAAAAATTCTGTTGAGCCATATTCACAACATGTTAATATGTGATGGTAAGTATATGTAAACAATAGACATTGAGTATTACTATTACCTTCTATTGTATCACAAGGGAAAGATCCCACAAATCTCTAAAGTATATTTGGTGCAGTTATTTATAAATCAAAGATATTTTCTTTACCTCTATTATATATTGCTGTAGATACCATTGTCTTACCCACAGACTAATGAGAGCTTTATGGCATTGAAATATACATATTTGCTTTTTACTTTATTTCACCTTAGGTCATTAGTAAAGAAAAACAAATGCTGGTGTTTACAATTCCTATTTTTGAACCTTTGCCTTCTCAATACTACATTCGAGCAGTGTCTGATAGGTGGCTAGGAGCTGAGGCTGTGTGTATCATCAACTTTCAACATCTAATTCTGCCAGAGAGACATCCTCCCCATACAGGTAACATTGAACAGTAACCTGAGTATTTGATTTTGCAAGTGTTTTAATGACTGTTGAGAAGTGTTTGTACTTTAAAGTTGTCTGAATCGGAATCAGAGAGCCAACTTATTTGTCAATATAATTTAAAGAGACTTTTCAGAATCCATATATGTATACAATCTGTAGATCTTAATGGTAGCCTTCCGTTTTGTGTTCCAAAAATTTGAAACGATGTTCTAACAGTTTTCAATAAACATGGGACTCTCTTTCTCTATTAGTTCATTTTATCACTATTTGTACATGTAATCATTGTCATTTATTCACATTTATCCACATCTACCTTCCTTTTTCATTACAAGAATTATCATTTCATCTGTAGTCTGTGAAACTTTTGAGATATCCTCCTTTTTTCTTGTCTTTTTGAACTTACTTAATCTTACTTCTGAAGTGACCAAATTACATTAAACTTACTTTAACTTACATTCCATTAAATCCATTATTTAAAGTGAATTGCAAAGCATTTTTTCCTGCATCTAGTGTGCTTCTACACCAAAAAGTGTTATTACTAAAGAGGCATGTTTTGATGTCACTCCACCCACACTCACATATTTCCCAAATTAATTTGTGTCCTATAAACAATATATTCCCTCTGTTGTACTCCATTTCCCCTCACATTGTCAAAGAGTTCAGCAATCTGCAATTTGATATTAGCAGTGTTTTGCATTGTCATAACTAACAGAAGTCCATTTGATTTTTTATTAGTTTTTTTTAATTTATTTTTAATTAACATAATTAATACTTAGATGCCCCATCAGGTATTACCACCTTGGCATATCCATCTCCAGCTCACCATAGTCCATTGTTCTTCCTTCCTCCTTGTTCTTACCCACCCTCTATCCTCTTACTTGTTGTGCCTCCTTCTGTAGTTTTTAAGCTAATATTTATTTGGCTCAATTTAGTTACTTTAGATTTTTATAGCATGAGCTAGTGCTTTTCTAGACTTGGGAGTGAAACCAAAATTTCATGAATGTTTATAATACTTCTAAGTACCCCATAAAATATTTTATTTCAAAAATAATCATGAAACTAATCTGTTAATTAAGATACAATGTTTATTTCATTTCAATGACAGTTCACCATGGGTGAGCATTGATTTCAATAGGTTAATTTACTTTTATAGAAAATAAAATCAACTTTTTTCCATATAGTTCTTCCAAAACAAACTTTTTTTTTGAAAATGTTAGTTCTTACTACTTTTAATAAATACATTATTTGACAATCCATAGAAAAATGAAAAAAGCATTAATGTGACTTTAATCTTTGTGATATCTGTACCTTGTTCATTGTCTAGCATATTTTACAGAGAGATGCTTCAGTCTAACAGCTTAATACCACTTGATCTCTTGACAGAGCAGAACTAAAAAGTTTGTCAACATAGAAAGATAATAAGATTGCTATACCTACTAATCTCCTTCACTGAAGTGGACCTTTCTGGTTTTCTTTCATCAAATATGAATACAAGTGACAATCTCAAAATAAAAATAAATAAAAATGTTTAGTGTTTTAATTTAAAATCTACACTACCAGCATCACTGTACTTTGGCTGCAGTGCTTAATTTCAATATGTATTAGCATTATTTTTAATGTTCATTCAGTCACTTCTCTGCTGAGTGACCAAGCATATGTCACCCCATTTATATAATTAGCTGATTTCTGAGTACATTTTAAAGGTAATAAATGCACCACCATGACATCTCAATTGATATTAGAAATGCATGATGTAACCTCAGTGATTCCCAGTTCTATTTGCATGATGTAACCTCAGTGATTTTTAGTTCTATACTTCTTAAAATTAATTTAGCATAGATATTACATATGCAAAATGTTAAAATTTTTAATCGTAAGGCTATGTCTACACTTTGATTATCATTGCAGACTTGATTTTCAATGCTACAGGAAAAACTGGGGGATTTTAGTCTGGCTTCGAAAGTATATAGTTAACTCTTAGTTACCTATATAATAGAAGGGAGACGTTGAAAAAGTTAGTATTTTTTTGTTAAGTTACTTGCTTAACTTTTTTTTTTTTTTTAAAGATTTATTTATTTATTCATACAGAACTGGGATACAGGCCAGAAATGAGGAGGGTGAGAGGATTCACCAGAGACAGAGTGGGGAGCAGAACAGGCAGATCGACGAAGTACACTGCTGAGGGGAGCAGCGGGCGGGTCAGGAGAGGTCTGCCACACCATGTGGTCACCTCCGGGGCAGGCGGGATTCGAACTCATGCGGAAGCGGCTCTAGATTCTCAGTGCTGTGCTTTAACCCGCTGCGCCACCAGGGAGGGCCACTTGCTTAACTTTAAGTATATTTTTGAGAAGAGAATGTTCTATACTTTCCATTTTGAAACTATAATAAAAGATCCTGCTCAACCTATAGGTCAGTATGTCTCCTTATTTGTTCTGTTTCCCTTCACATGTAGAACAAATAATCCTGAAAGTAAATTTTCCCTCTGATTTCCTAATTGATACCTTTCTGAATCATAGGAAAATATAAGGTCTTTTAAATTAAAGGGCGTATAAATGAAACTTTATGTCATAAGATCATTTAACTTTCTAATCTAAACCTCTGGTCCACATAATAAGATAAAACTAAATCTAATTTCTTTCCATGTTTCCTCAATGCAATTCAATGTATCCACTCCCATACACTGATTTTAAACCCCTATCTAACTTTCTTCCTGGAATCATTTTAGTTTTTGTGTTTTTGTTTGATTATTTTTTGACTGGAGCAACAGTTCACGTAGCCATTCCAGTTTGGTCACTTATCAACATATCAAAAATAAGGTTACTAGCATCCATTCTAGTACTAAAATTTGTAAATGCTTTTCATTTTTCTACAAGTTGAGGTAGATTTAGCTTTGTTCTATAATATATATATTTTATTTATTTGTGACTCAATTTACTTTCCTGATTGGAAAGATACAGTATTGTAGTTGACTTATAGGACTGCTCACAGTGCCATTATGTCAGCATTACAAATATGGTCATGGGAGGTGGCAGAGGAGATCTATAATTAATATATAAATTTTGTATTAAGCTTTTGTTTCCTTCCTAAGAATTAAAAATTGTTAAAATTTGTTCCTAAAATGCAACATTCAGTATTATGAATATTTTCCAGTTATAACAGGACATTTTATGTTTTCAGAATTACTAGACCTTCAACCTTTACCAGTCACAGCTTTGGGATGTGAAGCATATGAAGCACTGTACAATTTCAGCCACTTTAACCCTGTGCAGACACAGATTTTTCATACACTGTATCACACAGACTGTAATGTCCTACTTGGAGCACCCACTGGATCAGGAAAGACTGTTGCAGCTGAGTTAGCTATTTTCAGAGTTTTCAACAAGTACCCTACTTCAAAGGTCTGTTTGAATGAATTACATGCTTACATTAAATTAGATAAGTCATCTATACTCTGTCAGCCAGCCACTTCTAAATATACTGGCCCTATTTAACAAGTAAATTTGTTACTCGCTAGTGAATTTTCCAGGGAGGTTAGATAAGTATCAGAATAAAATACTGTATTCTCCAATATTAGAACAAGAAAACTTAAACTTTGGAATTCTATAGTTCAGTTTTTAACATAGATGTTGGTGCTCACATTGTGAAAGATTTGTCCTTCGTGAGCAATTTCATTTATAATATCTTATTCATAGCCTTATCTATAAGCTATGTAGTGATTCATAGTTTAATATTTGACTATGAAGAAAATGCTAATATTTTAACAAAAACAGCATGAATCTATACAGGAAATATAGAGGTTACTTTTATCCTACCTTTCTCCAAATGCCATGATAGGATTAGTTAATATAAAATTAAATGACAAGTCAAATAAGTACTGATTTTAAGCTCAGTTGAAATGTGAAGTATTAACTGTTTAAAACAATTTTTCCAAGAAATATAACCTATATGTTATTATTTTAATTATGTACTATTTATAGTTTCAGAAATGTTTTTCAGAAATTCCTTTTTCAGTGAACTCCAGTTAGTGTTTTTTTCTCCTCTGCTTATTTGTAGGATATTTGTCTTCTCAGCTTTATCGGCTGTTGATTCACTAGGAGAAATACTGATGCAGCAGCAGAGTTCTGCTATATATTTGAAACATTTTATAACATAAAGGAAAGAATAATTTACAACTGATAATCCTTCATAATATTTAACCAGATTACTTCTCTGCAGAATTTCAAAATCAGTAAATTTTTTTGTGAATGAGTTAAAACTCAGAAAACACTCAGTAATAACAGGGAAATTTTTCATTAGAATTCTAATTTTCTCTATGTAATGTATTATGTCATGACTTTTAATTTTTTTCACAATATTAGAAATGTTTGTTATAAAGTACCTAAAGTAAAAAACTTCTGTTACTTTCAAAAATATATTTCTATGTCAGTATTTTTGTGATATATTATCTCTGTCTTATTTTGGATAAATATAGATTGAGTCAATTAATTACCTTTTTCCCATTTAAAATGTTAAGCCTTTCAGTACTAACGGATATACTTTAAGACAATATAATCATATTCTGATAAATTTTAGTGAGTTTATCTCTGTTGGAAATGCTATCATTGTTTCATGAGAATGTTTTACCACTCCCACCTTTTAGGCAGTATATATTGCACCCCTAAAAGCCTTAGTACGTGAAAGAATGGATGATTGGAAAATTAGAATCGAAGAAAAACTTGGTAAAAAGTAAGTCCTTATTTTTCTTCAAAGGATATGCTCTGAATAATCTATAAAAAACAAAAAAAATTGCAGTAAACTGGTGAGTGCTTTTGCAATGACTTTTGTAGTTTTTATTCACATTGTTGTAAGATTCAAAAATAAAACCATTTAAATTACTTGATATGAATACTCTTTATGGTAATTTTCTCAAATTAAAATCTGAAACAAAAAATGTAAATTATATCTCTGTATTTCTTGCATCATTCAGAGTAACTTCCAAAACCACGTAGAAGGCACTTTATAGATAATTTATGAAAAAATAGGAATACTTGAAGAACATAACTTTTTCAAAATATTTGAACATTGTACCAATTCATTCATTTTATTACTATAATTAGTAGCAAGATTATGGGCATCCTGAGTGCCCACTAGAACTTCGCTAAATAAATTATTCATGCACTGCAAAATATTTTATCACTTTATAAAGAATAAGCTCTTTATATACCAAAAGAATGAGCTCCAGCATACTATAAAAAATGTTTTAAGTATCCTGTCTTTTGGTTTTAGAAAAATATAAATATTCAGTTGCTTCAGCATGAGAACTGGGTGACTGGAGAATAGAATAGACATGTTACAGATACTACCATACATATCCTTGGAACCATGTCAATGTATTACATGTTCAAATAGTGAAAAATAAAAGTAAAAAATAAAGCAAAATCTTTGGGAACGTTATACTTGGAGAAAATTATCTTTCCCTATTTTTCTCTTCTGTGTGTTAAAATAGATGTAAAAATTCTTTAGTGATGCCCTAAAATTTAAACATCTAGATTTGACACTTTTTCACTTACAAAACTGATCTTCTTAGAATAAGTTGACACATTTGCCCCAGCTTTCTTCTTTATCTGTTAATATATTTGAATTTGCCATAGTATCTATAGAAAATTTCAGTGTAAGAATGAAGCTTATACATAATCATATTCCAGCCTTTGAAGAAAGAAGTATGAGTTCACCTCTCTAAAATCCTCAGGGCAGAGAGTTTATAAACATAAAGGAAGTTTGGTACTTTTGCATGTCTGAAAAAAAAAGTAGATTATTTGAGGAAATTATCTTAGAATTCATGAGGAATATATATTGTGGTCATTACTCAGAAATTTTCAGAGTTCAAAGGGAGATTAAATAGTCTTAACTACTTTTAACTTAAGCATTATATAATTTTATTTTAAAGATATATGTTTGCCTTTTCAAAGTTATGTGCTACCTGAAAAGTTAAAAGGATCACTTATATTCCTCTCCAGAGTTATTGAACTAACAGGAGATGTGACCCCTGATATGAAATCCATTGCCAAGGCTGACCTTATTGTTACCACGCCAGAGAAGTGGGATGGAGTTAGCAGAAGCTGGCAAAATCGGAACTATGTAAAGCAAGTCACCATTCTCATCATAGATGAGATCCATCTGCTTGGTGGGTGCCACGTGTCCAAAGCCAGTTTTTCAGACTTTGACTGTCTCACCTGCTGTGACCAACAAGATGTGTTAAATGATTAACACACATTATTACTATTTCTTAGGAGAGGAAAGAGGCCCTGTTCTAGAAGTCATTGTATCTCGAACAAATTTCATCTCATCACACACAGAAAAGTCTGTTAGAATAGTTGGATTATCTACTGCTTTAGCTAATGCTAGAGACCTTGCTGACTGGCTCAATATTAATCAGGTACGTGCAAGATTGAGAAATTGGACGTTTAATAGTGGGGTTTTTATAGCTGCATTAAAGAAGCATGCTCACATTATAGATTTACATATTCATAAGCTCCAAATGGTTTCACCATCATTTTTACTCTAGATGGGCTTGTTCAACTTTCGACCATCAGTCCGTCCAGTTCCACTAGAAGTTCACATTCACGGCTTCCCCGGTCAACATTACTGTCCTCGTATGGCTAGTATGAATAAGCCTACATTTCAGGGTAAGCATGATATTCCTATAATTAAATAGAAATTTTTATTTATTGTAGTCTTTAATGTGTTCTAAATAATTTAGGATTGTTTCAAAGAGTGATATACTGCTCCAATTTCTACAAATTTCTAAAACTACCTCAACTATTAATCAATATAAATATATATTAACTATTGAAAATTAAAGAGACTTAATAAATAATGATATATTTGTAATAAAATAAATATATGTAATTTTTTTCAAATTAATCATATTCTTAGTATTAATTTTTAAGGTGTTTTGTATCATAGCTAACAACTTCAATAAATGGTAAATAGCGTGAAACAAAAGAACATATAATCTTAATTTCTACTAAAAACTGCAAAACTTAAAATTTTCAGTAGTTTTTTTAACATTTTTTTAACAGTACGTCTGTTTTTGGCTTGGTTTGGTTTCTTTAATTATCCCTTTCAAACAAATTAGGAAATCAGGAACTATTTAAGAATAACACTCTGATTTTATTGAAGCATGATTTGTTTAGGATGCATAAGGAATATTTTTTATATCAACTAAAAATAACTCCCAAATAAATTCTCTAACGTGAACTGCTGTTGATTGTGAGGTGACAGTTGTGAGGTGACTTTTTAGCTGCTGTAATTAGCCTTATGACAGAAGCAAAGTATTGATTGTGAACTAGAGACCAGTCTTGACAGTTCCAATTATTTACACCTCCACAGAAGCCGTATACAAAATCACTAATGAACAATAAATCTGCCATGAACTGTTCAGCCACACCTGTTCTTGTAGCAGCAAAAATACATTAAATGTTGAAGTTTAAAAAAGGAGACAGATTCATTCATGATTATGTGTATAAATTGTGCCAATAATGTACTAATATGTGTATTTTAATCATGGTATCTCTAAGAAGATATATCAAAATATTACTGTTCATATTCTATAAATTTCAGTGAGAAATAAGATACATGAGTTTATTTTTCATATTATGTACTTTTGAGGTTGTTTACTTAAGGAATGGATGATTGGATAGAAACGAAGCATTCTGTGTTATGTAAATCAGTAGTAAATGACTGAAACTTATACTTTTCTAGACATGGTATATGAGTTATAGTTGCTGTTTTATAAACTATTATACCTGTAGTAGGTCACTATATTTCTTTGAATTTAGAAAAGTCATTTTATGGTATCCTTTCTTAACTCTTAAGGTATATGGTTGTGTCAGCATTTCCATTATAAACCTTGTTTCTTAGCCCATAAAAAGAAATGCGGCAGCTCACATTTCAAACAAAAAAATTGCAAGGAATTGAGCTTCTTTATATAAAAGTTTTGAATATCTGTCTGTGACAGTTCTGAGGGACCTATGTAGAAACAAATATAAATTCTACTTTAGCCATCTTATCAGCATTTTAGAGCCTATTTAGAGCATAAACACCTCCTTTCCAATTGGGTCACATGATTTATGTGACTAAGTTTTTGTGTTTTTTTTTTAATCTGTTTGAAACTACTCACCTTGTGTGTACCTACTAACCCACATACCACCACTCAGCAGTAGATTCAGGTAGGGCATTCTCTTTATCTCTTTTCTATATATGTTTATCTTGCTTCTTGAAATCTTATGTGTTAGAAAAACAAAGGGAAGATATTCTTCTGACTTACTTCTTGCTAGTTTATTGATACCAGCTCTTAACTTTTCTATCTACTGGTAAAGGACAAAAAAAAGAAATTTGTATATTTTTTTTTAGAGAGCTTTCATGACCTGACAAGTTTTGACTCTCTCAGAACTTAGGACCAATTAATTCTGTCAAATCATTGCTCAGGTAACAGAAACACAACTTAGACCAGTCAATCTATGATGTAGTACCTCTTTTAATGGAAAGTCTCCACTTTTAAGTGACTCTGTCCTCAACAGCTCAACCCACAACTAAGATTCAGTGTAGTTCAGTCTGTCTAGACAATATGCTCCCTAGACAGGACCAGCTACCTCTCCTTTCCTATCATTTCTCCAATATACTGTCAGATATATGTTATATACCTTGAATAATGCTGAATTTCATGACCAAATTTTAAAAATCACTTAATTTACAAAAGAAGGTTCATGTATCCACTTGATAACCTAATGAAATTTAGACTCTTGTATAAGTGACTTTTACCCTTTTATTTCCCACAACTTTCAACAGCAATTCGAAGCCATTCTCCAGCCAAACCTGTTTTGATATTTGTCTCATCAAGGCGTCAAACTCGTCTTACTGCTTTAGAATTGATAGCCTTTCTGGCTACTGAAGAAGATCCAAAGCAGTGGTTGAATATGGATGAAGGAGAGGTAGAAAATATATTTTATTTCTGCTTCTTACTCATGTCAAATTAATATGATTATAGAATTATGGAAATTACATATTTATGTTTAGCTTTAATTTGTGCTTAAAGGTTCAATATAACATTATAAAAATTTGGAAAGAGAAATAAAGAGGAAAATGTAAACTTGTACCCACCATAACATTATACATATTTTGATTAATTTTCTTCTACTATGTTTCTACTAAGTAGTTTTATATTTAAAGCTTTTTCATCATTTTGTGTCAGAGACCAGTTCCAACTATTGAGGTGTCTGGAGGCAGGACAGGCAGGACCCTAAGGTGGGAAGGCGTCGGCTAGTAGAGATTCCTAAAAAAGGGGAAAAGGGAGAAAAAAGGGGAAAGGGGAGCGAGGAAGACACGGGAGTCAGAGTTAGGTGCAAGTCTTCCTGCTCTGCCCTCAGCAGACGTTTATTTTATACATTACGAGCAAGCAGTGGGATGACATCAGCACACGAACTGGGCTGAGAGATTACAATCATCTTTGTTTTTCCTAAGAACAGTTTGGGTTTGTTTTGACCCTTGCTTGAGATTACAACATTCTAAAATCAATCAAGGTAAAAAACAGGTACATAAGTGCACAAAATCTATGACTAATATTACTATAGTGGA